TGACTAAGATTTTCTATGTGAATCTTGGAGAATACAAATCTTTCCTACTTTAAACCAGTACCCATCATTCACATAGAAACCTCCTTGAGCCTTTTTCAAGCATTCAACACAGATGGATGACAAGTTATAATCTTAAGAATACAATGTATATGATTAAATCCAAGAATTTGGGCACTTAATTTTGAAAAGAGATTGTGCCTTCTTGACAAGGCATCAACCACAATATTTTTTCCCTTCTTGTATTTAATTACATGAGGAAATTGTTCTAAGTATTCCATCCATTTAGCATGTCTTTTGTTTAACTTATGTTGACCCTTCAAGTGCTTAATTGACTCATGATCACTATGAATGACAAACTCCTTGTAAATAAGGTAATGTTTGCAAGTTTGAAGGACCCTCACAAAAGCATATAATTCCTTGTTATAGGTGGGATAATTGCAAGAGGAGCCATTGAGTTTTTCACTGAAATATACAATGGGGTGTCCTTGCAATAAAGCTACACTAATGGAAACTCTCTAGGCATGATTGTAAGACCTAGGAAAAATAAAATTATAGAAGAGTAGTATGTTTTGCAAAGTTTGGCAATGCTAGAATTGGTGCCTTAGTGAATCTTTCTTTTATATTTTCAAAAGATTTTTGTTCTTTTTCTCCTTAAGAAAATGTGACATCTTTCTTCACTAACTCATTAAGTGGTGAAGCTAGACTAGATAAATTAGGAACAAGCCTTTTATAAAAATTGGTCAAACCATGGAAGCTTTTAACTTCTCTCACTTTTTGTGGGAATGGGCCATTCTTGGATGGCCTTTATTTTGTCAAGGTCCACATGTATCCCTTGTTTATTGAACACAAATCCTAAAAGGACAACACTATTAACACAAAAGGTAACTTATCTTTATTGGCAAACAAATTATTATCCCTAAGAATGGAAAGGATTGACCTAGACCTACATGATCATGCAGACTTGTACACTAAAATATCACCAAAGTAAACTACAACAAATTTACCTATGAAACCCTAAGAACATGATTCATATATAAGGCCAAAAGGCATCACTAACAAATCATACAATACAAACCTGGTATTAAGAGCAGTCTTCAACTCATCACTTTATTTAATTCAAATTTGGTAATAACCACTTTTAAGATCAATTTTAGAAAATACAATGGACCCATGTAATTCATCTAGAATATTATCTAACTTAGAGATTGGATGCCTATATTCTCCAGTTGTCACCTTTTTTTGGTACTTATACGACAAGCACAACATAAGGGCTAAGACTTTTTTGAATCCAACCATTATCTAACAAATCTTGCACTTGAGACTCTATCTCTTTAGTTTCTTAAGGATTGGTCCTATAGGCGGGTTTATTAGGAAGACTAGCCCTAGGTACAAGGTCAATTTGATACTTTATTTTCCTAAAAGGAGGGATCCCAATGAGACCTTCTTTAGGAAATATATCATCAAACTCCTTCAAAAGATTTTCAATGGATGAAGATAGTTTCTTGGTTTCAAGATTAGTAGAAATGCATGTTAGTATTCCTTAACATAGGAGGTGAGAAAGTTGTTCAACATGAAGAAGGTTTTTTAAAGATTTTTGGTTTAAAAGAGCTTCATGTTGAATGACCTTATGGAAGGAACACTAATTTCCCACATCTCTAACTCATCTTTAGTTACTTTTTAGGGGTTTTCTTGACTTTTTTTCTTTTCTTTTCTTCTTCCCTCTTGACCTTCATTTGAACTTAATCCTCTGCCACTTATGAGGGTTTCAAAGGGTGAAGTACAAATTTCGTATCCTTGTGTAGGAGCTTAATTTAATTAGAATGACCATTGCATATAGATTTTTTATCAAATTTTCATGGTCTTCCTACTAAAACATGACAAGCCTCCATGGGAACTATATCTCATAAAACTTCATCTTTGTAGTTCCCTATGGCGAATTATCCCTTCACTTGTTGATTTACTATAATATCCCCATATTCAATTAGCCAATGAAGTTTATAAGGTTTGGAATAAGGTATAACAACTAAATTAAGTTTCTCAACCAATATAGTGTTGCAATAATTTGAGAACATGTATTATCTAAAAATTTACATCTTGTATGAAAGATGTTATCTCTTTATGTGATGTATTGCGCACTAGGTTGGTTGTTGACAAAGTCTTCTTACCATGAGAAGATCTCCACAAGGGTATGTATCCTTTCCATTAGACTCTTTTGGACTTTCACTCACTCTCACTAGATGAAGACTCCTTTTGACTACTATAATTTAGCTCCTTGCATATTTCTTTCCAGATTAAACTAATTTTAGCCTTAATTTATAGCTTAGGCCATTTAATTTTATGTTTCGAATGAATCAAACTTTAACTTCAGCTGCACAAACAATATTAGAATATCCAAAAATAATTTATATAACTTATAATTACTTTTCAAGAGCTTTTCATTCCCAAACTTAATAAGTTCTCTTGACACAAATTTTATTCAAATCAATTATTTAAAAATAACAATTCCATCAAAATTTTGAAATTAAAGCTCAAATGTGGGCATAAATATGCATTCATCACCTTACCTAATAATCTTAACTCATTTAAGATCATTTGAAATCTGTTGAAAATGCTTTGGATATTTGTGTTATCCTCTATTAAGAACAACTCATATTGCTTTATCAACAAGCTTAGCTTGTTTCGCTTTTCTTCATTAGAACCTTCGTATGTGACGATAAGAGTATCCCTTATTTCCTTGTCTCCTTTGAAGGCATGTACATTTATGTATTCTTCTTCTGAAAGAGTGCACATTAGTGAATTTCTAGCTTTTGAGTTCAAAAGGTATTTGTGTTTATGCTCTTCTTTCCATGTGCTTTTGGGCAGTTCATCACCCTTCTCACAAGGGGTATAAAATTTCCATTTTTCATCATGTCTCACGTGTCTATGTGGCAAGACTCAAAGAAAGCAATCATTTGTTGCTTCCAGTAGTTGAACTTTTCCCCCTTGAACAAGGGAAGGTGACTTACTACGTATCTTTCATTTTCCAGTAAGATTGTTTCCTCAAGCCTGGCAAAGAACTAACCCCTAAGGTTAGCCCTGATAACAACTGAAATCACAGGAAAACACTGGAAAGGGAGGGAGTTGAATAGTGTTTCAAAACTTTTCGTAAATCAACGTTTGATAAATATTGCAGGGGTTAGATATTCTACAATAGTTGTTTGACGTGTGTTCTTAAGTAAAACATTTAGGGACGACATTTTAAGTACAAAAAGCAATAACACAAGTATTTTGTACTTATTCACTCAATCTTGAGCTATCTACAGTCTCCCTCAAGAGCCCTTGAGAGGTTCCACTAATTTTATCCAAGATTACAACCGAGTACAAGTCATTAGTCCGAGTTTAACCACTTCAGTCCCCCTAGCCAATTTTGACTAGTCTAAGTTTGATCACTCTTGGTATCCAAATATTCTGACCAATCCTAGTATTAACCTTAGACAACTATCTAGAACGTTTAACTCTCATGAGCTAAACAATATAAGTGTTTTAATTCTCTTCAGAATATCCAAACAAAATCAGTGTTGGTATATAAGTGCATATTCTAATAACTCTTAGTAAGAAGATAAATACAGTACAAAGAAATCTAAGAACTTGCGAAGTTCTTTCTTTTGTTCTATGAATGGACTTAAACTATGTAAGCTTATTGAGAGAATAACAGCTTAATAATACAATGAAAGCAAAAAAGTTCTTCTGTTCTCTTGTGTGAGTTATTCTTTTACAGCTTTCTTCGCGAGATGACCATTACTTAGAGATAGTTAACTTTGTTAAGAATATATGGCTTCTCGTAGAAAGATATGTATTTTTCTACGTCTTATGAAAAACATCATTGCTTTTGTAGTTAGAGCTAGTACAACTATGATAAGACATAAAGCATTAGAAAAATTTTCTAGTAATGTTTTCCTATCTCACAACGTATTTCTGATATTCGTGCAATACTTTTGAGTATATCTTGATATTATAAATATCTGCAAAAATAAAGAGAGAAAAGGTAAAACAGACAAGGTATAATATATACATGCATTTAATGATTTATACGTTGATAAAGAATTGAAGCATGTTTCGTAAAATAAACATTTAGTACAAATCTGAGCTTTTTCAAATACATAAGATATATGTATTTTGTGGCTTCTTTCTCTATACATACTTTTAATAAATATTGTTTAATCTTTTATACTTAACACATGGTCTATCTTAATAGTATTTAATAATAATGTTTTGATGTGTATATTTTGTATACATTATACTTCTGGATGTTTTGTTAAATGTTTGTTAAACTTCAAAACTAAACATGTTAGAGTCTATTTCCTTTAGACATTAGCTACTTCAAGTCCTCTTCTAAAATAGCAAGTTGGACCTTTCTCTCAAGTCTTTGATTTTATTTTTGCATGGTCTTTTATTGTCTCCTTAGTTTGAGTGCTCATGAGAAAGAGATTCTAAACTGTGAACATATATTCTTCAGAGACACTCCCACTATGTTTTAAACTGTGAACAGATTCCTCAGAGTGCCTTGTTCTAACTTTTGGATTTTGTAGAGAAGTCCCTGGTCAAGAGTTGGCTTGGTCAAAATCAACTTTTGACCCTTGCTTCACTAATCAAAACGCAACATAGTGGGAAAAGGGTGGATCTAGCTGAGCCATCTTCGAAGGAGCTCTGGCAACCCTAGTTGTTGTGACCCTGATTCACCTAAATCCCTATTGATGACTTTGGTAATTCTTAGGTCATGCAATTTTGACAAATTACTCATTTATTACTTTGATCGAAATAAGAAACATCTCCCTTTCGAAAGGATAGCGCTAAGCAGAAAAACAATGAGCATAATTCAAAACTTGAAAAAGGCTTGGTGAATGAAACACTCCCATAATCATTATTTTTAGTAATTCAAAACCATATACAATATTATTATTGTATAATACAGATTATATAATATAGATTTAACAGAATAGAAATATAAAAAAAGCATTAAATTAGTGAACCCCAGAAACCGTTACTGCATTTCATTCCATTGATGTTCTTCATTTTCTTTTGTCCTAAAAAGAACAACACAGGGATTTCAAGAGAAGTAACACCTATGTCACAACACAATTTCAAAGAAAAGGAAATCATCAAAGCATTGGATCAGCCTCCAAAACCATAGAGAGTCCTTCCCTGTCTCTTCAGGGCATACACCACGTCCATGGCCGTAACAGTCTTCCTCCTAGCGTGCTCGGTATAGGTCACAGCGTCGCGAATCACATTTTCCAGGAATATCTTCAGCACTCCTCTGGTCTCTTCATAAATCAATCCACTGATTCTCTTCACGCCACCTCTTCTAGCCAATCGCCGAATCGCCGGTTTCGTTATGCCCTGAATGTTGTCCCGAAGAACTTTCCTGTGCCTCTTCGCACCTCCCTTGCCCAATCCCTTTCCTCCCTTGCCACGACCAGACATTTTCTCAACAGTTTCCGCGCTCAAATAGATCTACTTTTAGGATTTAGGGATTTCTGCTAGTCCGAATTGGAACTAGAACGGGACTCCAGAGAAGGATTTCGATCGAACTAGAAAATTTAGGGTTTTGTTTCGATTTAAGATTTCGAATGATTTTTCGGAGGGAGATATACGGGTATTTATTGAAGGTGCTTCCAAGTTTTGAGTTTTGAGTTTTGATCTTTGTCGTTGGATGGAGAATTGATCGACGGTTCATCTTTGCGATCCGTGGACTGCAAATTCGACAATTAAGAAGCGTTGATAGATAGATTTGAACGGCCAGAATTTGTGTTGTAGCGTATGTGTAGATTGGGACTTTTTTTACTTTTTCTCCACATTTTGAAACATCCTTTTAAATAAATAGAATAGAATAATAAATTGCTTTTTTTCATGCAATATAAAAATCACAAAACCAGAAGTCATTGTAAATTGTATTTATTGCTTTAAGAAATTCATCAAATTAATATGCAATATTTTTAAAAAATAAAAATTCTATTGAAAATAGACTTGTTATTCTTTATACAATTTTTTTTCGTAAGAAGAGTATGACTCCCTCTTTTTATTTGTTTGTTACTTTTTTTAAGTTGAAAATTTTCTCCTTTTATTGAAATAAGAAGTGTTTTAGAAAATAAAATTTTATAATCATCAAATATTTGTATTACCTTGATTAGGTTTTTAAAATATACAAGTTTTAAACTTGTTTACTTAGTGTATGTTTAAGTGTTATTAAAAGAAATAATGAGTTTGAGAATATAAATAATAAAATTTTTTACTTTATAATTAATTTTTTAATAGAATTAAGAGGAAAATTATTTATAGATTTGAAAAGTTAATAAATCAATAAAAATATAAATAATAGAATCTAAGTTTATTACTCAATAATGTTGACGTTAATTTACATTAGATATAAAATTTAAATTTGTTACTTAATAACAAACATAAATTTAAGTCTGCTGAATCTAAGTCTGCTTTAAAATAGACTTAAAAAGTCAAAAATAACAAACTTAAAAAGTTTATTTTCTACTAGTAATGCTTAAGTGACTCTCAGAATGGGGATGTTACACAAGCAATAGATATAGCCTTAGAAAGAAGTTGTAGCTCATTACACCAAATATAAGTAGTTAATCTTTGTGACTATTCAAATAAAATTATACACTTTATGATACTATGTAAATTTAACTTGTACTGCTCATGTCAACCGAGGAGCTTTGAATACAAATATTATGTCATGAGGCATATGTAGAAAATCATATCCGTAAAGTTGTTGACTCATGGAATTTGGTAACGTCAACATTTTATAACTAATATCTTGAGTCATTATCATTCTAACTTGACTCAAAATGTTTATTGTGTAGTAATTTAGTAACGCATATCCAATAGAGCAAGAGGTCCTTAAGAATGTTTGGAAGTAGTGGTACGCATTTATATTAAGTATTTATAAATGATGTTAGGTAAATATTATATGTATTCATTATATATTGATGTTAGAAACTATTTATTGATGTGCATATAGTAGGAAGTTAATTGATTTTTATTTTTGGATATATCCATTAGAATGTATTTTGGGATTGTTATCTATTCTGAAACTAAACTTTATACAAGTTTGTACATAGATGGTAGCACATTTAGACCTTTTATTGAAAAAAAAAACATAACTTTTTATAATCAGTTCTAGCATTAACTGGTTTAGAAAGTAATTTTTTATATCGATTATTATTACACCTAGTATAAAATTTAAGATTTTTTATACTTGTTATAACTATAACTCAAAGATAAGACTTTTTTATATTTGTTGTAACAAATAACGGGAATAAAATGTTTGCTTCATACTGAGATTTTTTTCGTTCCAAACAAACTGTCTATACCGATTTCAGAATAAGTATAGAATGTGGACCTTAGCCGGAATAAAAAGTTGAATACTTTATATACTTTTTATTCCTATATCGGTTCAAAATCTGATAAAAAAAAGTATATAAAATGAAGGGAAGTAATTGGAAAAAAAATGAAAATAGATCAAGATTTTTCATAAAGAAAATTATTTTCTCTAATACTTTTTTACTCAAAATTTATTACAATAAATTATAATTTTTATTTACACTCTTGTACGCAAATATTCATCACATTGTTCACAAGATCACGAGCACGAGCACCTGGTAAGTATGTAAAGTTAATAGTTAAAATCATAAGTACGCAAGGTCAATTATAAAAATCATGAAACAAAAATAGTGAAATAAAACTTTAAGAAACAAAATATAAAACCATGGAAAAAGAAAATATTTTTTAATACATACCATTGTTGATAGCGAGGGATTTCATTGAGCAACAACCAGTGATACAATTATAAACAAAATCGGGGGATAATTTACTACAGTGTAATGATTCACATTCATTCACACATATTTGAAAGTATTCAGCAGCTGATTGTGCCAAACATGTGATTCTACACTTGAAATTGCAATAAGAAACAGCCATTAACTCAGCTTTTGAAAAATTTAATAAAATCATGATTGTAATTATAAATCCAATAGATTTTATCTCAAATTTTCCCATTACTCTTCTCTAAATTCTCTCCAAGATTATGAAATTTGTACAAAAGTTATATCTTAGTGGTGTTTCAAGAAAGCTAAACATATGAACTTATAGAAAAGGAATTGATAAAAAAATTTACCCTTGAAAATATGTAATAATAAATATATTATAATAAGAAAAAATATTAATGATGTATTTATTATTTTTCTACTATAATTAATATATATTGTATTTAAAACAGTATTTAAATATAGTTTATAAATATTAATTTAAAACGGTACAAGAAAAGTTGTAATTAGCATCCCAAGGAAACGGACAGAAAAAGAAAGATAATAAGACGCTAATGGTTGATTAGCAAACACAAACCCCACCCCCCACACTCATCAGAAGCTACAAAGTTTCTCGTTTGACAAAGAAACCGACTTAATAGCATCCTTCACACCCACTCCACTACTTAAATTATTTAATTAATTTTAATTAATAATAAAATATTGCATGTTAGTAATAATAAAATTAGGTTTATTATTATTTCTTTTATTATTGTATTTATTGACTCAATATGATAACGTCTTTTATTAAAATTAAAGACTTGTTATTATAAGAGAGATTATAATAACAAGAAATAAGTCTCGTATAATTTTAATTTAAATTATTCTTTATAAGATTATTGAGGATAGATTTAGTGATCTTTATTAAAGAAAGATTGAAAGATCTAACTTTTTATATTAGACGTAGAGCACGTACATATATGTGACCATTGAACTTACTCAGGAGATTTTTTAATGGTTGATATTATCTTTGAATTATCATAAAAAAATTATATAATTTTCTTATACTTAAAGATTATATAAAATTAACAAGTTATTTTTTATATTTTGGTATATGTTTCTACTGGAATGGGACGAGGAAAACTCCTGTTGCTTCTGCTCGGGAATGCTCCGTCTCCGTTGATCGGTTCTCCTTGTTCCGGTCTTACCGCCTGATCTTCCTTTCTATTCTCAAATGGGGGTGACCTGCAGGAAACACTCTGACGCTCAAATCAGAATTTATCTCCGCAAGTCTAGTTTAAATCAGAAATCAGAGCTTTTACCTTCTTAATCAGTTGTTATTTATAGGGTTTCAAGGAATATAATCCATTAATTTACCTCTTAATGACGATCAATGCAAACCTTAACTGCTCCACGGTGACCGTTACATCATTAATTATGCATTTATTGACATTTAAAGGTTGTCTCCAGCAAACTGCTGGAGAGTTCACACGAATATTACTCTAGCGTCCGATCGGGAATGATTGGCTTCCATCGCCCCTGCATGTCTGGTCGGTCTAACCTCAGTAGTAACACTTCCATCGCCCTTGCATGGTCGGTCGGTCTAACCTACTCAGTAGTAACACAAGTCCCCCAAGCCCTAGCAAAAATATTTTTGCGTAGGGTTTTGAAGTGGTTCCCGGTCAGTTCGCATCTTCTCTTGTTAAGACCTTCAACCGTGTTCTTGACTTTTGCAAGGGCGTGAAGTCGTAGAGTCATGACTGTAAAAATTAGGCGGGAAAAGTAAAAATGAATCGTCACATCGCCTAGACCATCAGATCTTTCTTCATTTGACGCTCTAGATTTGTTTCGCGAATCGTTTTTTACCCTCTATAAATAGCCCTGAATTTGCCCTAATTTTTCACCCCTTTCTCCTCACCTTCGTTACTTTCTCGTGCCTATCTTCCTCATCTTAATCATGTGCCTTAGGTAATCATGTCTTCTAATGTCGCCGGTGAAGAGGGTAGGGGGTATGCCGATGATAAGGTTGCTACTTCGTCTTCCTCCTCGAGTGTCGTTGATGGTCAGGGTGTTATAGTCGTCAATTCAGGGAATTCTTCCGATCTTCTGGCGAATAGTGATGCTCCAGAGGAAGTCGCAATTAACGTGGACTCCTCCGGTGCTTGGGATGGTAAGCCCAGAGATTGACCTGTTATTCCTGGCTATGATTGGGCTCCCTACGAGGTTAGGCAAATCTCTTCCTCTTTCTACCATCGCCGCAGGGATTTGGCCAGTAGTGTTTGTCTGGTAAAGGCTGCTAAGGGCGCTAGTCATTTTAAACTTGTCATTTGCCAAATGACCGAGCGGGTATGCCACGGCCGGGGGAATTACCCCACAAACTTCTTCTATGCTTACGCCACCATGTTTAAAGATTTAAAGGTTCTCCTTCCTTTTTCGGATTTTCAAATGAGCGTTCTGATGGAGCTTAAGGTGGCTCCTACTCAGCTGCATCCGAACGATTGGGCGTTTATGCAAGCATTCTCTGTCGTCTGTACCGACTTACCTTTATACCCCTCTCCTGGGGCTTTCCTTTACTTTCTTCACGTACAGCCTCATCCGACCAAACCCTGGGTTTCCCTCAAAACGATCAGGAATAGACATTTGTTGTCTCTTTTTAACAGTTCGTACAAGGATTTTAAAGGGAACTTCTTTAAGGTCGTACCTTTGGAAGGTGGGTATAAGAGTTTCTGTTTCCCGGACGGGCGGGCTAAGTTTCCCTTTTATTGGACCAACAACCCCAAGAAGGTTATTTCCTGGCCAAGTCACGGATGACACCCGAGGATT